GGTTCTTATCCTTCCGGACCCGTCCAAGCCGTACCGGCTTGAAGCAGACAGCTCCGACTTTGCCACCGGGGCTGTCCTGTCTCAGCCCGATGCCGACAGTAAGTGGCATCCGGTCGCGTTCTTCTCCAAGAGCTTGAACGAGGTCCAACGTAACTACGAAATCCACGACAAGGAGATGCTCGCGATCATCCGAGCCCTAGAGGAGTGGCGACACTTCCTCGAAGGCACGGAGCATCCGGTAGAGATCTGGACCGACCACAAGAACTTGGAGTACTTCCGTGAAGCGCGAACCCTCAACCGCCGGCAGGCTCGGTGGTCCCTCTACCTGTCCCGGTTCGACTTCGCCCTTCACCACAAACCCGGAAGTTCCATGGGTCGCCCGGACGCCCTCTCCCGTCGTCCGGATCACGGAGGTTCGGAGGATAATCGCGACGTCACCCTTCTCCGTCCCGAACTCTTCCATGTCCGTGCAATGGAAGGTCTCGTCGTCGCCGGCCCGGAGGTTCCGATCCTCCGAGACATCCGGAACGCGCTCTCTGGAGAGGCCGACCTCGAAGACCCCGTTGCCCGCGCCGCACGGGAGGTCCTCAAGGTCCGCGGCACCCGGTCCACCCGATCCTCCGAGTGGCATGTCGAGGGCGGGCTGCTCTACTTCCGAGGGAAGATAGTGGTCCCCCGAGATACTGACCTCCGGCGTCGGATAATGGAGCAGCACCATGATACGCGGATTGCCGGGCACGCTGGCCGTTTCAAGACGTTGGAGCTTGTCTCCCGGAACTACTGGTGGCCCCAGATGTCCCGACACGTCGGCCGTTACGTCGCCACCTGCGACCTGTGTTGCCGTACCAAGGCCCTCCGGAAACTTCCGATCGGAGAACTTCATCCGACGGAGGTTCCCCCCGAGCGCTGGCATACGGTCTCCGTCGACTTCATCGTCGAACTTCCGGAGGCCCACGGGTATAATGCGATCATGGTCGCGGCGGATGTTCTCGGTAAGCGGGCGCACTTCATGGAATGCCACACGCAGATCGATGCCGTGGGCTCCGCGCGCCTTTACTACCGGAACGTCTGGAGACACCACGGAACTCCCGTCCGCTACATCTCCGACCGAGGTCCGCAGTTCGTCGCGGAGTTCACTCGGGAGTTGTTCCGTCTCATCGGGATTCAACCGGCGACCTCCACCGCTTACCACCCGCAGACCGACGGGCAGACCGAGCGCATTAACCAGGAACTCGACCAATTCATCCGGCTTTTCACAAACTACAAGCAGGACGATTGGGACGAGCTCCTGCCAGCCGCGGAGTTTGCGTACAACAACCACATCCACTCGTCGACACAGCAGGTTCCGTTCATGACGGACACCGGTCGGCTCCCTCGGATGGGGTTCGAGCCGAACGGTCCACGCTCGCGACTGGAGGACGTGAACGACTTCCGAGATCGGATTGCCTCGGGGGTTTCGGAGGCCCAAGCCGCACTTGTCAAGGCCAAAGACGAGTACAAGCGGTACTACGACCGCCGACGAACCCCCGCACCGGAGATTAAGGTCGGAGATCGCGTGTGGCTTGACGCGTCAGATATCCATACCACACGCCCATCCCCGGGGCTTTCACATCGCCGGCTCGGACCCTTCCGTGTCTCGGAGGTTATCGGACGTGGCGCGTTCAAACTGGACCTTCCCCCACGCCTCTCCCGATTACATCCGGTGTTTCCCGTGGTGAAATTGGAGTTGGCGGAGGTCGACCCCTTCGGAGGTCGTCCGGGGTACGAGGAACCCCCGCCCGTACTTGCTGACGGAGCGGACAGCGAGTGGGAAGTGGAGGAAGTCCTGGACGCGAAAATGCGCTACCGAAGCCTCTGGTACTTTGTCCGGTTCAAAGGATATGACAACTCGCATGATCAATGGGTAAAACATTCGGACGTCTTCGCCCCTGATGCTATCGCGGAATTCTACCGCAAATACCCTGGGAAGCCCCGAGCCATCGCCGCTGCCACTTTCGACGCCCTTCCCTTCCAGGACCCCGCCACATCCTCCGCCCACATCCGAGCTGTGCGTCGAGGCGCCGCATTCCAAGGGGGGGGTGATGTCAGGGGAACCCCCGTTTCCAACCCCCGATCCTCCGATCGATCCTCCGATCCGACCCCCGGATCCTCCGATCCGACCCCCGGTCAGACCTCCGCTATCCTCCGACGTTCCCCCGCCGAGCCAAACCCCATCTGGACGGATCCCCGCACTCCGCATGGCACTCCGCATGTGATCGTGCCCGGGATCACTGCCGTTCACTACGCCATCAACAAACCATGCGCAACCCGTAGTTAGCCCTAGCTGGTATATAGGCACGCACCTGGCCGGGGAATCCTTAGACTTTCTCCTCTTCGGATCCCCCCTGCCAGGTGCGCTTCTTCCTGTAGTAGTGTACTTCAATTGACTTCGGATCCCCCCTGCCAGGACTCTTGAGATATTTCGGGCCGCCAGGGTTGCCCTTACATGGAGCACATACCCTCGAGCTCCCGAATCCGCTGCTGCATGGCTTTCAGATCCGCCGGGGGGCACCGTGGAATTGCCGGACTCGACGTTGTTTTGTAGTACGGGGCCGTGCATAGACTTGGGGACATGGTGGAGTGCAGAATGAGGCCGAGGTAGGGCAACGTACGTTATATATCACAGTTCGGCAAACGGTTTGGAGCTGGTGGAGTCTCTATGGTATGGCCCCACAAACGGCCCCACTGGCTGTAGAGCACTCGGCAAAGGTCTTAGGTGGGCAGCGACCGAGGCAGGTGGGAATTTTCGAGCTACTAGGTACTGGGTAGAGAGCAGCAACAAGATCTTGAGGGCGAAGGCGGCGGGGAAGCACAAAGAAAGAGTTGGTCGGAAAGTTCCGGAATCCGATCGCATTGCCTTGACGGCTCTTACGTCACCCGCGCGGTCGCGTTCCGGGCCACCAAACCGGCGCTGTGCAAATGTCCCGATTGCCTGGATGATGGGGTTGGGACACAGAGTGTTCCTTCCAATATAAGTATTTTCTCAGACTTAGCACATTTTCCTCGTGTTTCATTCATCGAAAAAGGTCCTGAATTTCATGTACAAAAAGTGACCTCCGAAATGTACGTGAATGGGTCCATGAATAGACAGGTACGTGAAATCATGTTCACGCATGTAGATGGTGAATCATTGAATTCACTACCTGGGTGCGTGAAATTCGCGGCATTTGACAACCCCAGTGAGTCCGGCCACTAAAGTCATAACCACAATCCCATCCTTCAAGGCTTTGTAATTGTCTTCTCGTGCCTTGGCCGTCCTCATGTATCCGCACCCATCGGATATATAGTCCGGCCACCAAAGAAACCGCCCCACCGCCAAGAAAAGCCAAAGAAGATGAAGAAAAACTTGGAAGCGCCACAACAGAGAATGTATCAACATATATGTATGCTGCACTGGCCTTGGCTCATCGGATCCAGAGTCGGCCACCAAGGAAACCGAAAAAGAACTTGGAGAAGAAGACGAGTAAAAAACTTAGAAGCGCCACACCAGAGAATGCATCAACATCTTATCACCGAACAAAGAACAAGCATCTCAATCTCAATCTGATCTTATACATTTCGGCCAGGGCCTCGCACTGCCTCCTGCCAGTTCCTTCTCTTCCCTTCTCGCTGCCTTCCTTAGCTGATGATCATTCAGCCATGCGTCACACCGATCAGTCAAAGTGGATTTGAATGTATATTTGGAGAGCGGACGAGTATATCTGAACATAGACATCGCAGCGGGGTGGGATCCATCCACCCATCAAGATTGGATGAAGTTTGACAGATCGAAAAAAGAATTAGACGTCTTCGTTCCTCTATGCTATGCTGAGCCATGTGAGTGAGAACGACGGGGAGGGGCGTCGAGAGGGTGACCAGGCCCAGATTCGAAGCCGTGCACATGTACTATAGCAGGTTCCAGAATTTGTCTGAAGTCGAGCGCTGACATTGAACCTGAACCTGTAGGCACTACCCGCTCGCCGAATTGATTTGAGAGAGTTTTTTTAGAGCGAAGGCTACACACATCCCTCCAAGTGCGGGATTCGTGTCATTAATCAGGATATCACAGCCAAAGTATGATGAATACCCACAGTATGAGAGCATCAGCTCCCGAATCCGAACTTTTCAAATTATTTTCTCAGGCTTTGGCTATTTTTTCCAACCGGACAGACGCATCAAGAAGACATGCACGCAAGCGTAAACGAGGGATTGCCAATCTGCCGCTGCCAGCCAGCGAGCCGGTTGATTGAACTATAATCTGAACGTCGAATGAATGGCACGCGGCATAAGATTATCGTTCAATAAAAGTAGCCTGATCCGCTCCCTCCCCGTTCAGTTATGAGGTCATCAACCCATTCAATATTCGTTATGGCTGCTCGCTACATTGTCGACTATGCACATGATCCTTCCCGCGGTTGAATTCAATACCCGCAAATCCATCTTCTCTCCGCAATCCACCTCTCCCGCCCCACATACGTATACGCATTAGCATATCCCGCCGCTTAGCCACGTGGCGCCAGATCCGCCCTATATGACGAGCTCAATACATTGCGTCCGAGCTTCCGAACTTGATTTACAGCACCCGACACGCAAATCCAGATCGTGTTTCATGTTTCATAGTATCGCAGAACTTCCATCCTGATCGTGTTCCAGCGACCGAATGCGGATACCTTACTTCCATCGCGTGTTTTAGGCGTTGAAGAGATGGGGGGATGGGTCTCGGCTGTTGGGGGCGTTGAACGATCAAGTCGTTTACATCCGTGTTGTTCAAGGAAGCGCGAGTAAATAAAAGTGAAAAACCAAAAACCGGCCCCCCGGGAAAAAAAAATCGGTATGTTGAAAAATTAGGTTTTGAATATCGGGCACAGAACGTTGCTGTGGCTCGCGATGAGACGAAGCTTAGGTGTTGACATAATGCCTGCACCACGAGGGGGGGGGGGGGGGATAAAAATTTAGAAAAAAATCGTTTTATGGCTATGAAGCTGCCCCCGGCGGGCTCGAACCGCCGATCTCACGATTGATCAGAATCTTAACAGTCGTGCGCCTTAACCAACTGGGCCAGGGGGCAGTTGAAACTTGTCAAACAAAGAACATATATGATCGGCAATTAATTCCAGTGCTCAAGTCCACTTCAACCGCGCAACCGTTATAGTTTAATATAGAGCAGAGCATGGATACTACATTTTTCATCGCCTCGTTCCATTTGTTTTTCAACTGAACACCCATTTGCAACGGATCAGCGGCTGTGCTCGGATGAGCTCCGACAGGTGGTGGTGGTGCCTCGGGTCTGTGCTGTCGTCGTGCCGACCACGGCGTAATTTCATCGAGGATGGGAGTTTAATTGGATGGATAACATGTGGAGGTCCATTGAACATTGAACACGCCACTGCATCGCATCGCAGTGCAAGGATTGGAGATTGCCGGTTAGCTTCGCGCCTTCGGGTTGAAAAAAGAAAAACAGCCGTCATGCTCGGACATTTCGCCATTAATTTTGCTAGTGCATCCGACAGCCAGTTACATCTCGCCATCTCAGCATTCGCCATCTTTTTGACGCCACTACGAAAATTTTGACAGACATAGCCCGGTGGCGCATCATAATATCGATCGCGGCTGTGCCCGATGTGCGGTCGGTTTTTTTCTTCTGGATGTGGCTCATCTAATTTGAGCAAAGAAAATCGATGCATGCGATGCTGTACCCATCCTCGCAGCCAATAGCGTAATTTGCTAGGGGTAACGCGAGGCCGTTCAACTTCAAATTTAGTTAGCGCCGCCGTAAGCTCACGGAGATTACTGATTATGCACTCGGTGATAGATGAGTCCATGACGCGTTCCTTCGGGTGCAGATGCTGCAAAAAGCAAAAATGTCCAGAGCTGAGGAATGATCCGTCCGAGCCCAAAAAAATAGAAATTCAACCACCATCATTCCGAGTTAAACTTGGGTCGACAATCAACTTTAGACTATCTCCCCCAATTGCATTCCTCCGCATACAAACTAATCGTCACACTACAGTGGACCAATGCACATCGCGGCCGCTGACACGCATGCTGGGCGTCGTCGTGGGAGCAGGTTCGTTGCGTTCACACGCACGGAGGACCCGAGTTGCACCTAGTTGCACTGGATCAGATATGACTCACTTGAACTTTCATTGATTCGCGGGAAAGTCAGCTCAGGATGATATCGAGGCGGCCGGGGCCGGCACGTAGACGCGTAAGGCGGTTCGCCGATGATCCACTGGACCCAGACTCATCGCAAAGCACTCGCAGAAGATCGCCGATGGTGGGAGCTCGGGAGGAATGGGGAAGAAAGTTATGGTTGCTTTGACGGCGATCTTCGATTTTCCATCATGGTAAAGAACTGTTCCTCGGGAATGCATAATTCAACTAGCGATAGCGTCGTGGCAGTCATCGGGAAGTCGACAGTCGCTCGACATCGCTCGAGTCAACATCTCCACCGGAACTTGAGCAAGCGCTAATAGTGAGCCTAACAAGGAAGTCGGAATCAGTGCTAGCAAGCGATGTATGTGATTCAAATCTTGACCACCTGTATGAATGATCGTTAATACGTTCTTTCCCGCGCTTTCATGTTCGCTGTTCGCCTCGCTCGAATGGGGCTCGAATATTGACAGAATCACCAGAAGTGACTCAACGGCGCGCTGATCATCCCGCGTGGAGGGAGCGGGAGATCTCGAGATGGGTATCGCTCTGTGTCGCTGTGGGAGACAGCAAGAGACAGCCTTCACCTCTCGACTCCGAGCCTCGAGGTGGGATCCATGTGCGGCTGCCAGGGTTGGCAGATCGGCATGGTTGGGCCCGCCGTGCATCTATCCATCTTCGAGATGTGTGATGGCGTTCACAGCGCTAAGGATACTGGGCGAGGTGAGGAGACGGCGAGGCGCGTGTTCGCACTGCTTGAGGCTCGGATCCCTCCCCGCGAACAATCAAATAGTTGCCAGTGCTAGCACAGGGAGCTGAGCTAGTTTGGCCTACGGGGAACAATAAGGCCAAAGAGGCTCTAGCCTCAGCCTCTAAGTATCTACCAAAATTATGTTGGTTCAATTCTGTTCAATTGTTGTGATTAACACCAAATTAACACACAACCTTCGAAGTTGCGCTTCTGCCATGATCCGCTCCGGCGATCTTCCCGTCCGTGTGTCGTGCGATCGTGTTCGAGCGCCCGAAGAGGTTTTCAGCGCGCGGGTGCTATTTCGGGTCTGGCACCACGCGGACACGCTCCGTCGGCCGCGGGCCCTGGAGCGGAGGCGATGCTGGGTGACGCGGGCGCCACGCGCCGTTTAAATGCGCCGGAGGCTGGGTTGAGCGGGGTTCGCCGCGATTTCCGATTCTTTTCCGGTTAATCTTGAGTCGTTCAGAAAAAATGGAGACCCAATTTTCAAATTCTGCGAGGGTAATAGCTGCATTCCCCAACCGTATTGTGAGATGAAGGCAGTGTACTGGCAAAGACGCGTGGACGACTTGGTAGAATTTGCGATCTGCCAAGTAATCAGCGAGATGATGGCGAGGAATGGAGCGGCATTCACAGAAGGGGATGGCGAGATCCGGCTTACAACCATTGGCAAATTCGCGCCGGTATTTAAGGCTCATAGCGTGAGGATGAGGAGACGCGTCGAGATGCACATTCTGCGAAGTAATCAGCGAGATGATGTTGAAGAATGGAGCGGCATTCACAAAAGGGGCTGGTCAGCGCATCTGCTTACAACTATCGGCAAATTCGCGCCGGGATTTAAGGTTAGTAGCGTAAGGATGAGGAGACGCGTTAGCGAGACGCATCCGGCGATAGGTTCTTCCTATTGAGTTCAAAAGGAGAAGCGCATATACAGAATGTTAAACTTAAGTCTTGACATGTGGTTTTGACATTCTAGAGCGACCAGAGAGACTGGGGGTGGATTTATTATACTCGCGTGGTCCAAATGTCTGAATAACGAGTTTACCGAAGACGAACAAGTAGGTAATGTAAGGTGGTCATCCTTACGTTAGAACTACAAGATGCCAGTGGCAGACAAAACCCCGCGGGACTGACCACCAGCGCGCTGATGTGGGCGGAGTTCTCTTAGTCCACAGCTGCCAAAATCCGCAAGAGTTGACATTTAAAACGGAGATGGAGACAGAAACAGCCAGGCCAGCGATGTTGGCTTTTTAACCAGAAGTAGGCTTCGAATACTTTGGGAACACCATAAGCCAGTTTCCCCAGGAGAGGTGTAACTTCTCTTCGAGAGAAAAGACCTTCAAATGTTTGGAACGCGTTGGTGAATTGACCGAGAACACCCGGAAGTAAATTCTCCGCAGTCTCCAGAAATACAGCTCGAATAGGTACTAGCTCGGAGTTCTGGCAGACGAACATAGCATGCGCTGGATTCTCAATGTACATGTAGCAGAATCGACAGAGCCGCCGCGGTCGTGGCACAATCTTGCCGCGACCAGGTAGACAGGTCTGGCCACACGATGCGCATATAAAATGGATCGCCTATATTTTCGGTAGCCCTCCTGTTACAATTCGAATCGTGTGCCCGAGTCCAAGCTTTTGATGCCCTCAATCCGAGCATATCATCTGGCGTGAACTACGCCCGAGACCTTCTGAAATGATGCGGTCGAGGTTGTCACGTCGAGTGGAAATTTTAATCGGAAAAGTAAAAAATTGCCGACGCCGCGGATGCGAAGGGCGAATGTGCGTAGTCTCGTCCGACGCTGCCGAACCATGATACCGGCCGAGGACCACTCTTATTGCCCACCATGCCAAATGGCTCGACATGACGGTGATGGGGTGGGACCGACACATCAGGCTGGCCACGTTGCGCTAGTGTCAAGACGCCGACGCCGACTCCCACTCAGATCCAGATGGATAGATACATGGCCATCGGTCACTGAGATGCATGATAAAACCCCAGCGGAATAGGTTACCCAAGAATCGAATGGGCCATCCCACCTAGACCACGATATTATTCGCGCATTCCTACATATTTTAGCGAGACGACGCTGCGTAGAATCAGGAACACACGACTGCAGGCCTGGGCCCTCCCGATTGTATCCAAAAGCGCCTCATCCAGCCATCCGGCCTCGTCTATCGCCCATGATCACTTCTTCTTCTTCGGCTTTTTCTTCTTCACGCCGCCGGCGGCTGGTGGGGCTGACGCAGAGGGCGTCGCGCTCGAGGCGGCAACGTCGGCTCCGCTGAGCGCTGGCGCGGGCTCTTCTGGGGCCGCCGGTGGCTCGACTTTGCGGCGGTTCTGCATCTTTTCCATCAACGACAGATTGAGTGCCTCGAACCGATTGAGGAAGATAGAGGAGTAGGTCTTGAATTTTATACACTGAAAACCGAGAGTTATAGCAAAAGAAACGGGGGAAACGTGCAGCGATCCGCACTGTAGTGTTGTCCGTGATTTTAAGGACGAGTTTTCCCTCCGACGACTTCCATTTTACACAGTACCGCGTCTATCAAGGGAGGGATGAAAACCATCGAAATTGGGGGAGATGAAACGTACAGTAGTTGGGGATTTGGCATAGAGCGCTTCAGCAGCGTCCTGGTATTCTTGCCAGGCGTGAATGTAGACCATGGCACATCGAGCTGGCGTAAGAATCACGCTGTCACGAAACGTCACATGCCGGATTTGGTCTCCGTCGTGACATCAGAGGAGTCTCGACCTTCCTCTTTTCTCCCACCTCGATGGCCAGCGGAGACAAGAAACGTCTGTGCAGCATTTCTCTATCTTGGATGCGCCTTCTGAACTACCCCCAGCTCTTCCTTTCGCCGCCAACTTCGTGGCTGGCGCGATTGCAGGCATTTCTGAGATCCTCACATTTTACCCTCTCGGTAAGGCGTTTAACGCGTCCCAATCGTCCTGAAAATTGACATGATTCCTTGCAGATGTCGTGAGTATAGCTCGGAGTTCCTTCCGGTGTCGTTCCGACCACTCTTGGGCAGGTGAAAACGCGGATGCAGCTGGAGACCGGCAAGGCGAAGCACGGCCTGGTGGGGACTTTCAGCTCGATTGTGAAGGAGGAGGGGTCAGTTCCGGACCTTTTCTCAATCTCCACCTCTGAATACCCGCTCAA